CTACCAAACCAGCTGCTTTTCCATATGGGATGGCAATCCTAATATTCAGTGTACAGTTGCGTGCTGTTGGAATTTTGTACAGCTTATTTGAAGCCCCTCATGTCCAAGTGTGTGTGCTAGAAGACTAAATGAGACCTGCACTAACAGCCTAGAGTAACTAATATCAAGAACCAATAATTAATTGTAGAATAGGAATAACACCATGCCAATACGAGTGAAAGACTCGTTTCGAGGTTTCTCTTTGGCATATTTACATCCAACCATCCATTCAAAGGACAAACTTTGCTTAAGGTCTGTGAGAACCAAAGAAAGTCAAGTAAGTAATGAAAACTTTAGTGTAATCGTCCCAGGAATTTAACTTTGTTCTGTGTGCTGAGTGTGTAAGTGTATTTAAATGGCTTTCTTTTTTCTGTCGAGGGCCAAATTCCATCATCAGATGACCTTTTCGGTTTAAAATCTTTCGGATAAGTGTCGACCTATTCGAGAGTAGCTACATTAAGAGCTGCACCGTTATTGTATGATGCGAAATTGTCTGGAATCAAAGCTCAGCCTCCATCTTCATGTTGGCCCGAAGAATGTATTTCTTGTTTTTTTGTTCTGCTTCATGAAATTTGGGTGGGAGTGATTCTAAAATTGTCCACACCCCAAGTCAAAGGAGAATTGTCTTGGGGTTGAAGTGTGAGTTTTTTCGTAGAAATTTCTCAGTTCACAGTCTGGAAACTTTGATTCCGTCATTACAAACATCGAAACTCTCTAATCACCAAGAGCATGTAGACAGAAATATTCAGTAACCACCTCGCCTCCATAGGATCGCAAATTGGTTTGATATGGGAGTGAAGACAGCCACCTTTGCTGGCTTAAGTATTTTGTGAAATTGTTCATACCCTCTATTTCACGTGAAAAAGCGGATGGGAGGGATTTATAAATTAATCTTGCAAGAAACTGTAGGAGAATTTGTATTCACCCTAGATCGCTTAAGTTGCTGAAGTATTGGCAATGAATATTCACACAATGAGATGAGTAGGCCCCACGATGTTAGTAAATTTCACTTAGCCTTTTTTAATAAAATGTATTATCATCCAGACTAGACTGGATTGGGCTCCCTGAACTGGTATATTCAGCACCACCAGTGGGATTCGAATCCAGGCTGTTGTAGTGAAGTGCATACTTTCGACATGTTGTCACTAGGCCAGACTGCTA